TCATCCTCCCAAAACACCCTCCCCCCCTCATCCCCCCACACACCCATCACCTCCTCCACCTCCTCCACCTCCTCATCAATAACCTCACAAAGCCCCCTCCCCCACTCCTCCTCAATCTCCTGGCCATCCTTCCCAATCAACACCGCCTGATTCTCATTCAGGGAATTCTTCAAATGTCCCACGCGATGGAACCTCGTCGAGCAGATGACCAACCAGCGGATGCGAAAGGCACCCGCGATCTCCCAGTTGATGGAGCATTGCCAGGCGGGGATGTCCACCGAGCCGGGGAGAGACTCCATACGTGCCTGGGAGGGGAGGTGGTTAGAGTATGTTAGTATGGAAAGGGGAGGGGGCAGGTGAGGGAGAAAGGGGAGGAGGAAGAGGAAGAGAGGAGGGGGGGAGGGAAAGAAAAGGGGGAAACGAACGTAGCCTTGAAAGGCGCGGGAGCGATTGATGGAGAAGACCAGGATGGCGTTTTTGCAGGTTTCGAAGGCCTCTCGGAAGATATCACCATTCTGAACCTGGGTAGTCCAAACGGACTGCTCTTTATTTTAGCGCAGACCTTTTTGGTAAACTCTCTCAGAAAAGAGAGAGGGAGACCTACATCTTCAATGGCCCTCAGGACATTCTCCTCATTAAACGACTTGACTATGAAGTATCGTGTGTCTGTACAAGTCAACATCAGGCGGAAGCAAAGGGGAAGACACTTGTCACGGCAGGCAAAGAAGCACATGAAATACAGCGGAAGAGTAATAATAATAAAAGGGTATTTTTCAACATAAAACTATACAAGATATCTTTTCCAAATGAGCCCATGTTTAAATCACGACACACAGAGGTGCTGGAAACTCTTTGAACACAACGACGGAGGTTGACATGAAAAGCATCACGAACCAGCTTTTCCACCTCGATCAAAACCTTTTGGATCCCGATATGGCTTGCTTGTCGCAATTTTGGAACCAAATGTTGGCTCATGTTTTGCCTCATCGAAACTCGCTCCCCAACCCCGACCTCGACCACGGCCACGACCTCGACCACGGTAATTTGGATCATAATTTTGAGGGGTGCCGTGATATCCAAATCCACCACGACCAGAGAACGAACGCTCAGTTCTATCATCTTTTTCATGACTTTCATCGGAATCATAAGCTCTAGATCGAGCAGGCGGTCTGCTCTCATAAGCTCGGCGACCCGGCGAGAATTCGCGCTCACGTTCATGTTCACGGCTACTAGCTCTGCCACTTGTGTTGCGATCATCATCATAACGAGGTCTTGACGAATCTTGTCCATCACGATGTTCAAAAGATGAGCGACGAGATGCTCTTGATCCGCTTGATCTAGGTCGACGATGCTCAGAATCCTCTTCCTCCTGCTTGACTTTAACTGTTTGATCTCGGTCGTCAACGCGAGCTATTTTTACCGCAGAGCCACGCTCAAGACTCTCTTCGGAATCGCTGTAAGATCGCTTGTTAGAAATCATTCGGCTCTTTGGAGGGTCAGAAGTTGAGGGTGAAATCATGTCAACATCTTGTTTTTCTCCTGTCTTGCTTGGAGCTGGCGGTGGCAACATGGATGAAAGGGCTTGTTGGCTTGGTGTGGCTGGAATACCACCTCTCTCGTCAGTCTCGATTTCAGTCAGAAGCTTGATTCTCTGAGCATCCAAAATAGCCAGCTTTCGACGTCTGTCTAATATCTTGTGGCGATAAGTTGTATTGTGGTAACCTGTAATCTCCAGCCACTCTCTCAGGTCGGCATCAAGGGGGAGAAGGTCTGCCAGAGTAGGTGGTCTTTGTTCTTGAACCAAAGGTTTTTGTACCTCCACCTTTGCTCCAGTATGGTTCGATTCAACTTTCCGAGATGATTCTACGTCACGAGAAGACCGTCGGTCCCTCTCCGAGGCATATTGTCGATGTTCATCATCACGAGACCAACGTCGGGATGACTCTTTTTCCATCTCGTGCTTTTTGTATCTTTCTCGGGATGGCCCACGACGAAGCGAGTCATGCTTGTACTCATCAAGTGACTTTCTATCAGACTTGTAATCAGAATCATGTTGTCTTTTATCTTGGCGAGAAGAATCCTGGCGGCGCTCATCGTAGCTTCGATAGGATTGGGATTTGGGTTGGGAAGGAGGTTCGCGACGTGGTGATTCATCTCGTGAATCACGTTTCGAGGGTTGCTTGGAAGGTGTATCTTTAGATACTCGCACTGTTTGCTTATCACGATTCGAGGCGCTTGGTATCGATTGGCTCCTCTTTGCTCCTGGAACTGCTTGCGGCGTTGGGGGTGTAGGCTCGTCTAATATTTCGCCTTCTGACATATCAGATGCAGCTCCATTCGTGACATTGTCATTGCCATTTCGTTTCATTGTAGAATCATCTTCCGCTTTTGTGTCAACACTGACAGGATGGATAAGTTTTGTAGGGCTGTCTAGTGAAGATGCTTGCGACGACTTGACGGAGGAAGCGATAGGAATTTGCTCGGGACTAGAAACAATTGGTTTAGTATCAGAATGTACTTGGGGCTTTGAAGCGGACTCTAAAACTGGTCTTGGTACGGAGAATTCTGAAATGAGCGCATTGAGGTCCTGCTCACGATTTTCAGCAGCGGTTATGGGGGGTTTTGGAGATCCTGAGCTAGTGGCTTCTTTTATTGGTTTCGCATTGCCTAATTTTGCCGTGGGTACAGGCGGGGTGAATGAAGCAGATCGAGCCTCTCTGCCTTTTAGCAGTTGTGCTTTCAATTCAGCGGCTCTTGCATTGATTTGTGTAGCAGGCCGTACGCCATTCATATTTGTATTTGTAGAGGGTTGATGGAGATTAAATTGAGGGACCGGAAACTGGAAGGCCAGGAGAAGTTAGCAAAATGTCTGACATGGCGGACCTAAGCTGGTTATGTCTGTTGATGGCCAGTAGTACAGGACATACTTGTGGACTCATGAATTGCCCCTGGTTCTGAATGAATGCGCTTTTGTTGAAGAGACCCACCTCAGGACGGAAGTCGCTCATGAATCCTTCGCTGTTGGGATCCTCAAATGGAATCATCGTTGGGTGTGGGAACATATTCTGCCCTGGAAGAGGGGTTCCTGGGCCATTTCCAAAGGGCGATGGTGGTGTAAAGTCCTCTTGATTGAAGTTGTTCGTAAATGGCATATTATTTCCAAAGCCATTGTTAGGCCACATTTTGACTGCGCATTTATGTGTATCTGCGTAGGCAGTGTTCTGCTCTGTTCTGGTCTTAGTTTGAGTTGATCACCGACGCTGCAGCTGACGGTACAAATTTATCTTGGAGTTCCAGTTTCGTCATCGGCTGCGAAACTTAAATATTCGATAGGTAGGGTGTGCTCTTGTGTTCTTCTGTTGTCATTGGCGGTCTTGCTCTATTCCGCATGCTCTATTTGGCAACGTCAGATCGGATGTCTGCAGGGCGATTAGATCTTGATCTTGGTCCAGTCCTGTGTAGGAGGACACTGAGCATGCCTCAAGATGTTGGTTGGGTGTTGTAGACAGCAAGAGAAAAGTCCCACGGGCAACTTGAGCGTGTTGATGGACGCCGACGCTGAGCGACAGACCAACTGGCTCGTGCACCACATGCAGGCTAATTTAGCGCAACTTAAGCCACGCCCCGTCAATCTAGAGGGGCTTGGGTGCTTGGGTGCTTGGGTACTTGGGTACTTCTCAGTCTCCATGCGTTCTCTGGAGCATGTAGCATGATCTGTTGCCATGAGCCCTGTGGATGTTGATATTCACACCAAATGACCCCTTGTCATGAAAATACTGTACTACCCAAAAGATGTGAACAGCACTTCAGACTCATTCATCATGACGACAGAGATATGAATAAAGTATGGAAAGTAACATTGAGCAGCCATCCTGTTATTCGGTCTTCTAGAATCTAGACAAACCTAACAAGCCTTAACCTAGATATCTCAATGCAATCTGATTGCACAATCTTCTAGAATCAGAGCACAGGCTAGGCCAAACAAGCCTGGAACATGTTAAAGCAAAAACACAACTTTCTCTTCATGGCCTCCGATAGGATGGAACCACAAAACTATTAGATTGCATGTGGCTGTAGATTGTTCCAAACCCAATAAAGTAACAGAGGGGTATATACGTAGGCTGAAGTCCTGAATATCTTACAGTCGCCTAAATACTTCCACCAAACACATTTGTTTATGCTGGAGGGAGGAAGGAGGCGAACAATCCTCCTTGTATCACAGCATACATGAACATATATCTTACAGTATTCCCACCCCAGAGGTCCTCGTTCTTCTGCACCAATGTTGCTATGTACCATACCCAGATGGGAAAGGAAGAGGAGATCCTTGTGATGATTTGTACATGGGCGCTGGTCCAAGTGATCGTAGTTAATAACAGTTGGGATATGGCCATGTTTTTGATAACCCAGCCGCTGTTTGTGCTAGCCCTTGATTTGGGTTCTTGGGCATACGCTGACGCCCATATTCCAGACACTACAGCCAGGATTGACATTGGGGTGGCGAGAAGGAAGAGGGGAACATTGGAGACTGTCCAATATCGGAATAAGCCAACATTCCTAATTGCATTAGCGAACTACGCCTGGATTGTGACATTTGAAAAAAAGGACAATATACCAGTAATGATCTTGAACAAAAGCATAGATACTTGGAACGGTCTTATTGCACCAAGGCCTCAGTACTTCAACCTCCAACTCGGTGCAGTATTCGCTCCAGGCGATATACTGAGGGACAAGGAGACCGCCTCCAACAACTAGCCCCCCAAAGCCAGTGAAAATTAGTCGCCGTACAGTAGCCACTCGAAGACCATAGCTAAGTTTCAAAAGAGTCCGAACAGCCTCTTGGAGAAGTAACAGACCATTGAGAATTCCATTGCTTCGAAAGGTAGTTGCAATAGCAAACAATACACCAGAGACGACTACCAAAAGATCGTGACCTAATGATTCTTGACCGTCGTTGGCTAAGCTGGCAATGAACACCAAGCTCCCAGCAAAGCTCAACAAGGCGCATGAGCTCTCAGCATATGGAGCAGAAAGAAACAAGCCTGCCGGCGAAAGGATGTGCAATGCTGCGGAAGTAAAGGCAAACTTGGTAGTACAATCTGGCAAGACAGCGAAACTGAGCTTAAATAGACAGAGCACGGAAAACAAATGCGATGAGTGGGCAATGAGAATAGCCAAGCAGCTCTCTAAGCCATTGTAGCTGGGAACACCAACTTCTCTGAGAACTCAACAAAGCAGTCTCGTCAGTAAAGGTAGAGCTCTCATTTAGGGATGTTGACTAGAACTCACCCGAAGCAAAGAAATGGATGAGTCGGGTAAATCCCCATCCAAATGCCCATTCTTGCTCAAATAGGTATCCACGACTGGATGTCTGAAGGAAGTAGATGGCATCCCACCTGGTGAGTTTCTTGGCTAGGTATTGAAAGGCGGTAGGTAGAGCAATCATTCCATTGCCCCCCAGCGGCGACATAACCAAGCTGGTAGAAGTATCATAGCCTTCGCCTGGGCTACAACAAGCAATGAGCAGCAGAAAAGTCTTCCACGCAGCGAACAACACCACCAGGCTTCGAAGCGGATGATGGAGCAGCCAAGTGGCAGAGAGAGTTTCGGGCATGGTGGAAGATAACGGTGCAGGTGGTGATAGTCTGGGAGGCTAGTACGAGTGCTCTACTACTCGTGCTGGTGGCATCGAATAGCAGTAGCAGTACTGTACGAGTCCTGGAGGGAGTGTTCGTATTCGTATGAGTACCCAGTGAAATCCTCAATTGTAAAGGTTATATTGACCGGCAGCCATACACCATTGAACGCCCTATATACAGTGACTTGAGGTGTGGCTCTGCGTTTTATTCGCTTTGTTGGAGTTCCAGATTGATGTGATCAAAATGGTTGCGGTCCACCCTTGAGATGGATGGCGAGGGATGGCAAAAGTCCGTTGAGGCTCCACGCACAGTCCTCGGTAACATGTCGGCACCGTCATTACTGTAAGACCGTCCTCAGCGTACGAAGTATATATAAACTTAGTCCGCAGTCCCTCAAGGAGCTTTGCTATCAATATGAGATATATCTTCCCCCCATCCAATCCTGTAGGGCTGAGAGTGCCAGTCGAATCATCCCCAACCGAAACTGAGTATTATTTAGCATCCTTCTCCTCTTTCATCTTTCCAACGAGCCCAGTGCTCCAGATTGGAAGGCGGTGAGCGAGATGGTGTGCAGCCCACTTACTTCTACTTCTAGCATGGAAATTCTCCCCCACCTACATTTACCGTGAAGGGAAGATGCCTGGTTTGCTGGAAGATCCTAGCACGTGCATTAGCATCATGGGCACCAGCACCTCACCAACCGGGTCCAGCAAAGGTGAAGGTTTACTCCGTAATGTTTAATCGGTTCCATTGCCTGTCGTGCAGCCGATCGGGATGCAGTACGGAGTACTCGAGTACAGTACAGGAGAGGGGTAATTTATGAGGGGTCATGGATATACAAGCACAAGTACTCGAGTACACGCCCCAACTCTCACGATACCATACTTGTAACAGCAACAGCACCAGCACCAGCATGGTGAAAGCAGCGAGAGACTGAGGATTAGGGCTAGGGTTCCTACGCTTAAACAATTCCGAATGGGAGTAGAAATCGTGGCCGTCGTACCGGTACCATAAGCAGCAAATGGGAAGAGAGCCGATCGGCATCCAGAAAGCCTCTCCCAATGCCTGGGCCGCGGGGAGTCGTTGGTGGTGTGACTGCTCTTGAAGGGCCATCCTGGACATGGAAACGTACTTTGTATGTATTTATGTACTGAGTAGTGTGCGAGTAGGCGAGTAGGCGAGTACTGGAGGCGAGGGCTCGTAGTTGAATGAAGCTTCTATTCTCCACCTCTCTGCCTCTTCTCTCTTTCGCCAGACATTTCTGGGCTCTGGTAGACTGGTCCTCATGGTGGATGATTCGACTCCTCATTGGGGTGCTTGCCAAGCATAGTTGTTCTTTCAGCCTCTACTCGTAGTCTCGTACTCCGTACTCCGAACCACAGACTCCCAATCGGCTCCCTTGGGCACGGCTACGACACGTCGTACGAGTGTAGCTACTCCGTACAAAGACTCACGACCACGCCACCAACACCTCACCGACTAAGCGTATCAGGACACCAAGCCTACACGTGAGCGGCGCCCGCAATAATCCTTCGCTGTGCTGCACAACCCAACAAGCACCAAGTCTACTTCGCAGCTTATTGCAGCTTGGTGATAGCGGTCGTCGGGTGTTGGCCGAGGACACCATCCATTCTGCTCGAAAGCACCTGCAGTGCTCGATTTTTCCAGATTTGCCTTTTCCCAATCAATTGGGTTAGGCCACTCGTTGGTCTGTTTCTGCCGGTCCCAATACCGTAAAGGACCAGGATCATCCCCATGATATTGAATATCCAGCATCTTCTGTACGACGACGCTCACACTCTCGCTCACGCTCACATTGAACTTACCACCTCCTTTCTCTTCCATCGATCCCGCTCCTCTTGAACCTTTTCAGCCTCCAACTACTACTGCAACTGGCAACTTCGGACTCCGTACATCTCACTGATTCCATCCTCTACCCAACTTCACCCGCGCATCCGAGTCTCTCGTCTCTCCTCCCAAACCTTCCACTGAC